CCTGCTGGACTACCTACTACGTCAAGGATTTAGCTTTGTTCGGAGACATGGGCAAGAGAATTTGTTCTAACGGACAAAAAGTGTCATTAAACGTCCTCCAGTGCTTACTCTGCAGATGGCAACCATGCGACTGCAGAGTTTGAAGAGGCGTTTTTTGAAGGATGCGACCTATTTCCGGCAGTATAACGCTGTGATTGAACGCAACCTCAAGATGGGATACGCTTCGCCAGTGCCGGTACATCAGTTGAATCCCGAGTTCCGTCCTCGGTGGTATCTACGTCATCACTCTGCCGTCAATCCGAGCAACCCTGGGAAGTTGAGGGTGGTGTTTGATTGTGCAGCGCAATTCAACAAGAAATCTCTAAATGACTACCTTTATCAACGTCCAAGTTAGACAGCCGACATGATAGCAGTGCCCTTGCGTTTCCGCAAGGAGCGCGTAGCACTTTCGGTTGATATAGAAGAGATGTTTATGCAAGTCCGCGCTCCGGACTACGGTGGCCGCGTAGCGATAGTTCATTGAAGCCGGTGGCGTTCCAAATGAACGCGCATGTGTTTGGAGCGAAATCTTCGCCATTCTGCGCCAAATTTGCTCTGCAGCAAACTGTGGAGCTATTTGGAAATTACTACGCTCTAATAGTCTCCGAGGCGATTCCTAATAATTTCTACGTAGACGACTGTTTGTTTTCCGTCCCATCCATTGATGCCGCCAGAATGATATCCACTCAGCTGACTGAAATGCTCCTCAAGACAGGCTTCCATCTCAGAAAATGGGCAAATAACGCACCCGAGGCCATAGAGCACTTGTTCAGTGCGGAGCGTGCTGAGTCACCAGTAACGTTGTCGGGTTGCTCCCCGGTCATGCACCCAACCCTTCGTATACAATGGGATACGTCACGAGACGTGGCATATTGTCAATTGTGTGTTCCTTTTTTGACCCACTTGGTATCATGGCACCGCTTTGCTTACCACCTAAGCAATTGCTACAAGGGCTGTGTCGAACCGGCCTCGGATGGGACACTCCTATCGACCAGTCATGTGCAAAGGAATGGACATATTGGGTTGACTTTGTCGCCTCGCTCGGTAAAATCAGACAATCTAGGTGTATGTTCCCGGTGGACATTAGCTATCGAGGTGAAGCAGAGCTGCACCTGTTCAGCGACGCCTCAGAGGTCGGATACGGGGTTGCTGCTTACGTTCGGTTCTCTGCGGGGCTTAATCGACCATGCTGTGGATTGCTTTTCGGTAAGTCGAGAGTTCCCCTCCCAAGACAGTTTCGATCCCTTGGCTGGGGCTAACAGCGCCCCTGCTTGCGGTAAAGATATTCTGTATAATTACTAAGAGTCTGAAGGACATATCGTTCAAAAGTTATTTTTAGGCGGATTCCCAGATTGTTTTGCAGTACATTACCGATCGATCTTTCAAATTCACGTTTGTTGCAAACCGCTCGGCAATCATACATTAGTATTCCAGCACAGAGCAGTAGAGGCACGTTAAATATTCAGATAATCCCGCAGATGTGACATCAGACGCTTGTGCCTGCTCGAGGGAGCTGAGTAGAGTGCAAACTTCTTGGGAAACTTGGTGTAAGGCATGGAAAACGTCTGATGCCGAGAATTCTCGTAGAGGTCAGCGTTCTCTCTCTCATAGCCTAGGGCCCTACTTGAGAGTATCCTCGTATCAATTTGCAACGTATCGCTTGGAGAAATTTGGTGGCCGGTGTATCGCCCAAAACGCTTGAAAATTGCTCCCGCCCAATCTTTTTGAACTCAACTGCGTAAATTCAAATGTTCCGCCCAATCCTGCCTTCTATTAATCGACACTTTATTATTATCGCATCACCCCATTTCTATCCTATTCATTAAAACATTGTGTTGCACAAACTGTGCATGTTCTTGGTTCCTCAAATGTACCGTATTATCACTTGTTTACATTCACATTTTGGGCAATTTTCGAACTGGTTACTCACGCTTGATACTTGTCTCCGTGTTCGGCGTGGGTCTAACTGTCGGTCGATAACCATCAATGTTTGTCGTACATTAATTGATTTATTGATATTTTGTCATACAGTACAGCACATTTTCGTCGGGATCACTTTCGTTTCGAATTCGGATCCATTCTTCGGCACTCGTTGCTCGACTTATCGATTTTGTCGCTTACATATTTCGAGTCAAAACATCCTGTCGTGCTCCACCATAAAGTGCAGGAGCCGCGTCATCTCAGAGTGACGAATAGGAGATTCCTAAACAAGTTGCTTATGCTTCTTGTTTATTTTCGCCTGCTAAGAGAAATTGCATAAATACTAACAAGGAGACAATGACAATTTAACTAAGAGTGACATGTTTTCAGCACCAGCTTTTTGACAAACGTTTGTCATAAGTGCTGACCACAATTCTTTACTTGGAATTCTTGGAGAAAATGAACGATTACCTCAATTCACGTTACCAAGAAGGCGACGCTGGGTCTCAAAATAGCCTGCAATCCGTATCGTTTGCAGTAGGCTCCTAGAAGGGGAATCTCACAGCAGGTGTCCTGAGTCGCCTACAGTTGCGAGCTGTCTCAGTTCACATGCCAAAACAAACACACAAAAGCCGGTAAATCTTGTGAGTTTGGTTAATTGTTTAATTATCACTGCCACGAAAAACCTTAGATTATAAAGAACTCTCACCCGTGCTTAGTTTCACTCCAAATAGATAGCTGAAGAATGTCGAAAAACCCTAATTAGGTTCTATGTACGCTCGTCATTGCTTGGCGTAAAAAGCAGCTGTATCCAGCAGGATATGAATGTGTTGGTGCAATGGCGTGGTGCATGCCAGAAAAATCGGGCTTTGTCCGGAGCAGCGCCCAAACCAAATCGGGAGATCAGGTTAGCCGAATGTACGTGTACTATTGTGGCCCTGTTGATAGTTATGTGATTCTTATGATTGTCGATGCACATTTTAAGTGGACAGAAGCGGCGTCTAATAGAACTGCATCTTATAGATCGACTACAACAGCACTGTTGCATCGCACGGTGTACCCGATACGATTGGTTCAGAAAAATGCACGACACTCACCATTGGGGAATTTCAAATGTTTTTAAGAACCGCTGGGGTAAAACATGTTTTACCAGACCGCATCGTCACGCTTCAACTAAACCGACTGAGCGCGGCAGGCAACGGTGTAGAATGGACTGATGGCATCCTGTGCATCGGTAGTGGACGGTGACTTCAAACACACGTAGATCTGTTGCTCCCGGATTGGGTGGTCAGGGCCCAAAATTGTATTGTTCCATGAAGCGAAATGCAGGTAAACGGGCCCGACCTAGCGCAGTATGAACTGGCGGGGAGGTAGGTGCTAAGCGTCAATCTTCAGATAAGGAATTGGTGTGTGAATGTGTGGCGTCAAACAACCGTGACCTAATTGACGGTAGGATAAGCCGCCTTCGTTTGGACCGGGAAAGTACTAGGAAGCACGGATCAGACCAGCAACTGACCCGTGATACAGGAGCATTCCAGATTGAAGCAAGAGAATTTAGAAACTTCTACGGATCCGTCAAGACACCCACGATGGTACGCACGAGGGTCGAAGTCGTTCGAATGCTGCTTAACTGGGGGTGGATCATCTAGTAGTGGAGGAATGTGGTAACCACTTCGGTGTGTCAGACTTACTTTGTTGGCAAACTGGTGTGTGACTGTAGTAGTTGACTGGACGCGAGTAAGATGGTTTGTACACGTGCGTGTCTACCCGACACCAGGTCAAAAAACTGTCTATATGATGTCTGGCTACGTGGCTCAGTCGTAAGCTCACCCATTGCAAGGCAAACCTGTTTGGCTGCGTGTACATAATACACCTCTGTCCTTACATGTGTGCGTTCCGAGTTACTCTGACCTTACGATAGAGAGTCTGAACTATGTCTTCAGCACCGGAACCTACGTGGTGGACCGTGCAGTCCTTGCACACACCCGCTCCCATCCGTATCAATCACCAGTGCCTTCGTATTCAAGTAATCTCATGCCAACATGCTGTTTCTACGCTTATGCAATACACTTAGCTCCCTAAGTGTGCTGCCAAATTTGTACGCTCAGGCAGCACATTATATCAGACGTTTACTGACCAGGATTTCCGAATATCCTGGCCTCCTCGAGTTTTTACTCTCACTTCAATTCCATCATTTTTCACACACTTTCATCCATGCTGACTCACCAGCCATTCGGGTGTCTCCGTCTTTTCATAATAATTCGACTTCAATGATGTTGTCGAGGCATTTGTGACGCGCCAAGCCTGCCATAAACTTTGCCAGTATGCTTTTCGTAGAAATTTCGTATGCGTGAATAATTATATTCGCAGCACTCTTTTTTACGAAAAATGTTCACGTCACCTCTGCATCAGTCGTTGTTGTGCAATACCACACAATATCCTCAATCTGTTGTGGAATCAGAAGACAATTTGGGTGCATCAAACAAATTGACCTGGATTTTGATCCAGTTGACCAGCATGATACTGGACACCATCTGTGGGTGCTGCCACAGTATACTGAGTGCTGTTTGAAGCCAATCATTCCCCTGTTAAATAAACCGCACCTCAGATGATATTACCATGGGCAAATTAACTGGGGCTCTGTTAAGGCTAGACGAAGTGCGATGGCACCATGGCTGACAAGGAAGCCTCGTACGAGGAGTATGGGGTTTACCTGTTTACGATGTTCCCATAGACAGACGCGTGGCGGACGCTCACTCAACCAAAGATATCGGGTGTTGACCTCACCCACCTAAAGCCCGCTTGAGTCCAGGTTTAAGATTTGTAACTAAGTTTATCGAAGTGCATTTCTTTAACGTCACATCTCACTAGATACAATGGATATAGTTTGATTCACCACTGCCAGTGGTGAAATACCCTCACAAGGGAACTGTGAGCACCATCGGAACCCTCCGGCCTCCTATTAGTGTATGGACACGCTAACCGAGTAAAGTACGTACTCTAAGGCTCCTATTGCGAATTCGACCTTGAATCCAAGGTCAGTTGCTTCGGGCTTTCACTGCAAGAGGATGAGTGAAGTGCCTCCAGATAGTCTGTATAAAGACGACACTGTTTATTACCTGCAGCACGAAAACAAACTTGCATTTTTGGGGACCGTGCTAAAGTCGGATAAAATAGTTCCAGACCTCATCACACTTGATGCAACTGATTCAGAATCTATTCATGATGGAATAAATATTAAATCTGGGGATATTCTGACCGACACGGACCGGAACCATGATGTTGGAAAAATGTCTTGCGACTCTGTGGATCGAACGGGCTCTTCCGGTGCAGGCAGTCGCCGTGATGCAGGTTCTAACGTAAGCACCGCATTTTCACTCTACGATTGCGTAAAACACTGTAGCTTTGACATGAATTGACTGTACTTATTTACTTCGTTGTATATTTCATGCATCATCTTAGGATGTGAACTCTTATTAGTGGGGTGTGGGGAGGAAAGAGTATTTTATGTGATTCATTTGCTGTCTATATATTCGCAGTGTACAACGTGGCCGGGCTACCAACTTAACTCCTCAAGATACTTACCGGTTTAAGTTTTCAAGACCTCTACTCCCCAGTGCAGGACAGTGAAAGAAGGCCGACTGCAGATGCAGCTTTATCTACGACCTAACAAATTAGCACAGCGACGTGTTCGGAAATGTTACTGAATCAAGTGTTGCCGTGGCAGTTGTATAAGAAGAAACGTAAAAAAATATGATTATGAGGGGGTTAGGGGAAAAAAATTCAGTTGACCACCTGCTATTTTAAGATAAGACCACAGGCCCGTGAACGTGGAACCCAGTTAGGCCCCAGAGTTGTCTAAGCATATATATATATATATATATATATATATATATATATATATATACAAAATCTTCTTTTTT